ATAAGGCCTTTAAATCAGATCATCAAAATTCCATATTTATCCCAAGTTGAAATGTTTCAAAAGTATATTTTAGCTCCTGTCTCTCTTAAAGTTTTTCTTAGAAAAGTTTGAGGAAGGAAATGAAAAAATGTCTGACCATTCTGAAGTACAAGACAGTCTAAATTTTAATGACTCACACTAATAGTAATTTCTACAATTACCCAGTAATATATAGTAAGATACAAACTTATAGTAAGAACTAACTTATAAAAATGAAATCAGTCTTAGCACACTGGCAGTAAATCTGACCTAAGTGTATACATACAGGTCAAACTACACCCTCAAGCCTCTCTGTAAGTCTTTAGAGATTTTAGTTATTCTGAAGTGTTTTTATTTGCTTGTCTTGGGAACTAGAGTTGCACCACTAGAGATGGTAGCAATGATCTCAGACTAATGTGCCACCACTATATTTCTTTTAACTCAGACTAGCAGCACACCACAGTGGTCCTGGGAGTTCTAAATTCATTGCAGCGTACACAGAGCATTGTGAAATCTTATGCTGTTGAAGCATCTATCAGTTTTCTTACCTGTTCTCATTCTCAGACGACAAGAGACTGTTGCATCTGAGAGGATATGCTTGGTGTTTAATCTTTGATTATATTTAAAGTGAGGCAAAATTATACTCTCTTTTCTATACTGTACCCTCTAGTATCTATTTTCTATAAGCAGTATTAAAAATAATGATCATTTCTACCAAAAGTCCCATACATGTAATAATTTTTGAATCTATAAGCCACTTGAAACTCAGTGAATTTTTTTCCTCTATCTTTACATAGAAGTCAGGCTTCTCATACCACAATAATTATTTAGTGAGTTGGTATGAGCTCTCTACTTTTCTCCTATAAAACCTCATCAGTTGGGGGCCCTCCCTGGTGGCGCAGCGGGTTAAAGCACAGCACTAAGAAACTAAAGCCAGTTCCGCATGAGTTCGATCCCCGCCTGCCCGGGAGGTGACCACATGGCGAGGCAGACCTCCCCTGACCCACCCGCTGCTCCCCTCAGCAGTGTATTTCGTCGATCTGCCTGTTCTGCTCCCCGCTCTGTCTCTGGTGACTCCTCTCACCCTCCGCATTTCTGGCCTGTACCCCAGTTCTGTACAAGTAAATAAATAAATCTTTAAAAAAAAAAAAAAACCTCATCAGTTGAATGAGATCTTGAGACATACAACAATATTTAAGACATGAAACAGCTTTTTTGATTTCTAAGAAGTGATTGACCATGAACTGTGAAAAATATTTATCAATGGGAGTCTGAGATCTTTATCACTTAAAACTGGTCATGTCGTATGACCACAACTGGCAGAGAGATGGAGTGTAGGGCTTTAATTTAGGGTAAGAGTAAAACCAGCAGCATCTCCTCAGTCTGGTGAATTTAGCTACCCATAAGTATATTTGTGGGAACTGAAGTATTTACTTTAATGATACTGATAATATTGAAATTCTTACTTATGGGCATTGAACATCTATTCCTCCAAGCCTGTGTCCAATGTGCTGTCGTTTTTTTTTTGCTATACCAAAAGCTTAATAAATGAACATTCAAGTTTAAAGGTAAAAATTACATCTAAGTAATCCTCACTTATACCACATTACTTAAATTTTATTGAAGTCTTTTTTTATGGATGGCAATGTAGGTTAAAATATAGCTTAAAAAATCACTAGTAATAAAAAAAAATTACAATTTCACCATCCACCCACTAACTTTGTGACCCTTGGTAAATTACTATAGCAGTAGCATGACTTGTACATTTTAATAACTGAGTTAAAATATGGAAAGTATTGGCACAGTGGTTGGTTTATAGAGAGAAGATGCTCAATGAGGGAAAAAACAGTGTATAAGCAGTGAGGACAGAGGAACACAATGAGTCCAGAGAGATACAGTGACATCTGGGAATTTAACTATCAGAAAGTGACCATTTCCATGTATTTTTCAGAGAAGAATCAAGTCAGACATTTTATTTTCAAAAGTATTTGTGTTGTCATCAAAATACTTGTCCTGGGTATTGCCATTCTAATAGGTGGCTTCATTCCCTGGAACATATCTTAGTCTTGATAAAGACTAGCTTGTTTGTCACCCTTCAAGTATATCCCCTAGACAAGTATATCCCCCTAGGGTTAAATTTTATTTACCTACCACACTTAGTTGAATACCTACTGCAGAGTAAGTGCTCAAGGCAAGTCTGTTAAGTTGAAAAAAATCTTAAAATCACGAAGTCTAGTAGCACAAAGTACAAATACATCACATACTTTTAAAATGCACAAGGCTGCCCATTAGGTATTAGTGTGTGTGGTGAGTACATGTGTGTGTTTAAATCAGTGTAAAACAAAAACAACTCAAGGCAAAACCACCATACCCTTGAAATAACAATTACACTGCACAAGCATTAGTCTGAAGTCTTCTTTCAGATGTCAGTATAATTCAAAAGATAAGCTTCTTCTATACGCATCTAATGTTCACAAAGGATATTTGTTGGACTTATTTCTAGCTGAACCATTGGGGATTTTCTTACTGTAACATGTTAATACAATCATAAGAAGAGTCAATCTACATTGCTTGGCTAGTAGTCTTCCTCCCATTTTTCTTTGTATTGTTCAGCAAAACAAAAAGATATTATTAGTATTCAGACAATAATTATTGAGTTGGACCATTTTCTTTTCTCTATCTATTACTATAGAGAAAACTTTACACTTCATAAGATTCATCCTAACATAAATCTGAGCTATTCCCTGAAAATTTAAACAGTTAGGTCACACATCTTGTTCTCCATTATCTTCTGAGTCTGAGTGGAGCAAGTCTGAAATTGAGGCACATAAGATACAAAAGTCTTCTGACCAGAAGTTCCTAAGTTGAAGTTATTTTCTACAAGGTGTGAGCAACTGTCCTGTAGGATCCTGATGTCAGTGAATAAGCAATGGGCTGGGAATGGGCATAATACTCTTGACTCATTAGTCAAAAACATACCACTCTCTCTCTTTTTAATTGAAGTGACCCCTAAGTAATAGACAGACTTTTCATCATTATTTTCTTCAGGGAAATCTCCCTCAAATTTCAAAAGTTCCTCCAATCCTTCTGAGAATGTAAGGTGTGGGGATATTATATTGGGATGCTGACCTGATAGTATAAAAAATGCCTGGGCTTCTATCTCCCATGAGCTATTAGAGAAGGAATCCTTTGACAGAGAACTTTTGCTAGAGAAGCACTTGCTGACTGAACTATTTATAAGCCCTTGCTCTTCATCAGTTTCACTTGATTTGGAGTTGCTGACCAGAGTGGCATATTTAACAGAGGGTTGTATCCTGCTTTCATCTTCACAGGTTATCTCAGTGCTCTCAGCCTCAGCAAATTTAGCACTGGTATGTTGTTCACTAATACAAACAGAACCCTTTTCAAGATCTGGAGTTGTCAAAAGTAGAGAGACCATAGCTGCTGGCACCATCTCATCTGGACATTTCCATGACGTATCAACACTGATATCTTCTGAAATGGCTTCAGGCTCCAAAAGAAGAGGACCAAATGTCACTGATCCTGTATGCTTGATAAAAAGATGCTCAAACGTTTCTGGCTAAAAGAAAAGACATATTAATGCTAGATTGTATTAATTTTTTTTTTTTTTTGCTTTTGCTTTACTATCATATGCTTGCTGAAATGAAAGTGTGAAAGGTTAGTAATAAAGGACATAATTTAACCACAAATTAATTGGTTTTGGACTGAAATATACCAAAATTCATATGGGAAAGGCCGTCTAAGGTAAGGTTCTAAAAGTGGATGTGAATTAAGATTTGAGTCCCATTCTGTGACTATGGACAAGTACATTAACTTCCTTGTCTTTCAATTTCTTACAAAGTGTTCAATATTTATTTCATGGTATTGTGGTAAGAAATAAATTTGATAGTGTCTGAAAGTACTTAGCTCTCAATAGAAATTATTATAGTTATTGTCATTGGAAAGTCTTGCCTTTTGACATATTCCTATCTCATACATATTCTCATATAATATTTTATATAGTCTCACAAACAAAATCTTTAATTCCCAAATAAAAAAAGTAATTGAAATCAAATGTTGTTAAAAGATAGTTAAAATAACTGCTGCATGATATGAGATATATTGTAAAGGTAAAATATTTGTTACAAATGTTAAGAAGTTAACTGCTTTATAACACACTAAGAATGTTTAAGACTATGAAAATAAGAACTAACGACTACTTGTTGAAAACAATGAAGGTTAAAGGAACACAAATTTTAAAATTACTATTCTTTCTAAATAACTTCATATAAGAATACATAGTATGAGACATGTGGAATGAAGACAAAGACACAAACAAATGCACATCATATTTTTTATAAGTATGGTGGTTACATCACACACAAAAAAATCCTGCAAACAGCCACAAATCAATAATTTGTGTGCAAAAAGCTCAACTCATACAGCATAAACATATTGAGAAAATAAATGTAAAATAAAGAATACTATGGATACATCACATTGAAAAATCACAACTAAATGAAGTTATAGAGAAATGTGTTCAATTTTTTCATCATACAAGTAACTGACCTTTTGAATTTTACAACTTTTAAACTAATGAGTGAATTCAAATTTATTGCTGAAATAATGATATAGCCAACTATTCTTCAAAGTGGTAAATATATTTCAAATAAAAACACAATTAATTTTGTATAGTTTTTAACTTATGTGAAATATTGGTGACTATAATCATAAAATAATAAACATAACATACACTAGTATATTAGTGCAATGGACATGTAGATATGAAAATACTGCATGATGACAAATAACCATATTAACACGATCTTTTATTTATGAGTATAATATACAAAGAGAAAACTGTGCCTTTTTTCTTTCTAAAAGAAATCTATAAATTAGATTTATAGTTTCTTTCAAATATTTGCTTGTTCATTTTATTTATTTGTAAACTCACTATGTCTCAAATTTCTTAAAATTTAAATGAAATTTAAATGATCATCAAATAAAAGACCAACTTTGAAAACAAAGAATACACACAAACAGCACATAGCATGCAGTCAGTCTCAAATATTTTCTTTAAATGATATGTTTTACACAATTCATGCCCTCAAAAACTTCGTAATTGGTGACTACTTATTGATACCTACAGTTTTACATGTTCTCAAATACATTCAGGTAGCAGACTTCACTAATAAAAAGGAATAAAACATCCATATACTATTGAAATATACCTTTTTCAATGCATCAAAAATCTTTATTGAAAGTATGCATATTAAAAATCATTTTCAATCATTATATGCACCTAATTTTTTGAGATCTTAGCAAAATCTTGGTGCATATTAAGTATGCATTCATCTGTTATAAATTAAAGAAAATCCTTTCAAAATTTTACACTTGGATTTCACATTCCAGTAACATCTGTTAATAGTCAAAGTTCTTTCGGATTTTGTGTTATTACTTAAGATTGCAACAAAACTATGAACAAAACATAAGTATAAGTGATCCATATATAGCCTAATTCTGAACATGATATGAGAGTATCAAACAAAGTCTTTGGTTTAGTTTGGGTGGCTCAGAAAAAATAAACTAGATTTAGGCAAGAATTCCACAAAAATATTGGATTGGAGACCAATGTGCCTTTCTGATCTAGTCAGTCTGACCTGAATATGTTGGGTCATCCTGATATGAATTATAACTACCCCTGGCTTATGACCAGTACAAAACCACAACTTCTGACTTTCTTTGAACTGAAATTGAAGTTAGCACTTAAGCCATTTTTAAGGCTCCTGAGAATTGAAGTTCCCAGACTGACCAAATTTAGACAGACATAAAAGCTACAGGACATTCAAAAGTAGGTCAGTTTATGTGATGAGATGTCTACCAATGAATATAAAATGGAAAATGGTGAAAATTAAAATATAAACATTACTTTTACTGTGTTCAGTGATTAATGATTATACTTGCAAAACTGTATCAACAGCTGTAGTTTTTGCCTAGTGACAGCACTGTTTATGATCTATTTGATGATATTGCATAGATATGTGGCAGTAGGAATAATCATTGAGTTTTTAATGATTATATGTTATGTTATATGTCCATATAAATGATAAATTGAAAACTAGATATCATGAATACTAATTTTTAAATTTAGGTGAACTGAAAAGTAATCATAATCCTAAATAAATTAGACTCAGACCTCTATCTTGACCCCAAATTTACCCATCAATTTTAAGTTCTAAATCAACATAACCCACCATACTTTACTTCTCAATAGTTCAACCAATTTTTAAAAAAATTTTCTCCCCTTCTTCAAAATGTAAAAATCTTCTAATACGCTATAGAATGTTGGGAAGTTGGTATATTGGGTTCATCTGTAGTGATCATGATTAGACTTCAAAGAATGTCCGTTCTCTGTTCAGATAAAATAAAACAAAATAAGAAACCAAAATACAAAAATCACTCAGAAAGCAAAAAGATAAGAATTTAAATGGAGAATACATTGTTAATATAGAACTAATGGGAGGTTATCAGTTGAGTCAGTGAACTTAGGCTTGAACCAAGTTTTTCATATGAACAGGATTTTATAAAACAAGCTACTGAACCACTCTGTGCCTCTTTTTTGTCAGCAGAAAATATGATTAGGTCTATGAACGAATTACATAAATACAAAACCACAGAGCAAATAAAAAAATTTGCTTTGTGTTCATTAGTAATAAAACATGAACTATACTGTATTATTTTTCACTGAAAAAGTGATGTTCTTTACTTTGAAGATTAAAGCAGAAAGAGGATATAATTGAACTTTGGAGCTTTTTAAAATAGTTGAATTTATATTCTTCTTCACTCTGCATGTATTTCTGTTATGCCCAAACTAATTTATTACTAAGTGGGTTACTTGTTTATCTATCTAGCCCTGGTAATAAACTAAACATCATGAGACCTAGTTACACATCAAGAACATCTAATGAGATTATGAAGTCAGATATATGTACAGGTAAAATATAAATACCTCTGATCATACACAGTATAGGAAACCAGTTACCTCAAAAAAAAAATCTTAGAATTAAAGATATTCAGCCCTATTATAGATATATTAAAAAGTTTATACTTTTAATTAACCAGAACCTCAGGAAATGTGATATTTTATCCTGCTTTCCAGCTGATCTGCTGCAGTATTATCTTCAGAAAGCATATTTGAGGCAGTGGGATAGTCTACAAACACTCACTGATTCCACCTACATCCACTGACTGGTTCCTGTGAACCAGGCATTTTTTGGAAAAGGGAACAGTTATTTGGTACAAATTCAGACTTCTTTTTGTTGAGGTAGGCCTGATCACTTTCCTGTCCAGGTAAACATCACTGTGGTAAAAACCATAGTGGTACATGGGAGGAATATCAGAGCTTAATCTCATGAAGAGAGAATGTTTTAACTTCAATTACAGAGGCAATAAGATGGGTTTTCCCTCCATTAATATACATACCCACAGTGTGTGTCCATAAAATGTTAGAGGCAAAATTTATATTTTTTACCAAAGAAGCCTCATGTTAAAAAAAAAGTCCTCAAATTTAAGAAAAAATGTTCCTTACTCTTTACTGTCTCTGCTCCCTATTTCCGGTTTGTGAATGTGAAGGTCCTTTTGTCCACATGGCTTTATATCTGTAGGTGGCCTGGCCTATTCTCTAGTCTTCTGACACAAAATCTAGTCAGTGACTATTCATCTTCCAGACCTTAGCTCATAGATTGCTTTCCCATCTCTACATGCTCACCCTCCCCACCTGCACTGAACTCTTAGCAAGCTAGCTCCCCTCATTTAAAATTATTATTTGTAATGCAGCTTACAATTATGATTTGTAACATTGCTATGATAGTGTCAAATAATGTATATTCTATTATACAGTATTAGTTGTTTCCATTATAAATTAACGAATACTCATCTTCCTCACTAGACTGAACCTCAGAAGTTCTTTCTACTGGGCATTAGCACAGTGACTGATACTGGATAGATATCCAATAAATTTCCCCTATATAAATAGATCAATAAATTATTGAATTTTTTAAAAAATTAATATTTTGGAGACAGAAAAGAAGGTACCTTCTTAATATCTGTTTAAACCCAGTTACTATGACCTCACCAATTTATTTCCTAGATCATAAGGAGTATTTTTCAAAATTTTGTTTTCCCAAAGTCTAGCAATGAGCTAGATTTACATATAAGTAAATGTAAATGCATTCCTAAATGAATGATAATACTATATCGCTGAAATGACGTCGTAACTACAATAAATGTCACCATGTAAATTCAGAATGGAAGAGACTGGAAGGGAGAGAAGAATAAATATTTTACTACTGAAAAAATCATCAACTGTTAAGGGACTCTGTGGCTTATAATGAGCAAAGACATAAGTGATGAAGTGTAGGGCTGGTTAGACTCAAAGAAATTTCTATAAAGGCTATGATCATTTGTAAAAACTACACTGCTGCCTTGTTTGAGGATACAGTAATCTCATGCTGAAATACTGCAACTCACCTTCTCATTGATATGTCCACAATACTACATATGTGTTCATTCATTAATAAGTTATAAAGCAGTGTTTTTCCGATTGTGAATTACAGGTCAGTTATTATGTGACATTAATTTAGTGGGCCGTGATCTTTATTTTTAAAAACTGAAATAGAATTTTGAAAACAGAGAGGAATGCAAATAATAAAAGGGTTTTCAGCATCATTTGTTTCATTTTGCAAAACTGCATCTATGCACGTATTGGGTTGCAACAGAAAATACATTGCATACTATGAGTCATGGTTAGAAAGTAATTGAACATCTCTGTTATAAAGAACAATTATCAATAAAACAGGCTTTGAAGTTAAATAAATTGGTAAGCTAAGTTTGGCTTTACACAAGTTACCTAACCACTACCAGGTTCAATTTGTCACTTCTATAAAATGGAGACAAGTACTTATCCCAGAAGGCATCTTCATTTTATAGAAAAGGACACTAAAAATTAAGTAAATCTTAATGTATGTATGAGATTTTATTTCAGTGAATTAAACATAAATAAATGGATACTGATTTTATGATTACCAGCAATGCTTCCATGAATCCTACTTCAACACTTTGAATGCTATATCAGCAAGGGGTGTTCAACAAATATTCCCATGAATAAAACACAGCCCTTGAATTTGAGGTATATTTCACAATAAATTAAATACTCTGGGAACTAAGAGGGGAGAGAAATGTTTCTGAACTACATTTGCTAAAAGAGATCTCAGAAAAGAAGAGCCTTAGACAGAAAGGTCTCCATTGATAGGTGGGTGTGCAGAGGTGGAATAGAATAGCAAGGGATGATCAAGACCCATGGGGATAAAAAAAATTGAATATGTAGGCTGGTAGTAGAGTATAGAGAGAAGTCATTGAGTATAAGCTGAAAAGGACTTTATTTTGTAGCTAAAAGGAAACCAATTACAAATACCCTCAGTGACCAATGATTAAGCTGCAATTATTAGGCTGCATTATAACTTCTGTATGGGTTATTATTTAAAATATTTTGTAGATATTTTGACATGAAAACTAAGTTCTGTTTCCCAATTTTATGAATGGAAATCAGCCTTATTCTGAGAAAAATAATAACAACTGGTAAAACATTAATTAAACTGCAGAACTTTTTGAGAAAGTCTATTGTAGATGTTAAGTACAAATTATTTTACTCTTAATGAGTAATTGTTTCATGAAATATTTTAGTTTATTTCATAAATAAAGGAACTGTCTGTATAAAATAAACTTTTAGTATAATAACTATATTTTTCAGATTGTAGCTTTTGAGGACAGGATTATTTGTATAGATTTTTAATTGATTTAAATAATTGTGGAAATAATTATTGGGATCAAAAATAATGATTCTAGGTTTTTGCCTATGACACTCATTTGTACCCAAAAATGTACCAAATATCCATTCCCCATCAGATTTGACTCTTATTATTTTGACATTTATCTTATACATATCCATTGTTAACTCTCATGTTAACAAAAATCTGTATTACCTACTGAATTTTGTTTTGTCCTCATTTTAGATCCCTGCATCCTGTTCTTCTTGAAAATATATTATAGATTAAATAGAATCACATTAAAGTGAATAGACTAAATGAGAACTTTTAACTCTTAAAAATGTTCAAAGCTCTAGAAGGCACATAGAATCCAATAACCAATCATATATTTTAGGGTAAGAAAAAAACTGAAAAAGGGACCTTCTGAAAATTAAGTCCTTGTGCCCAGGAACAATTCTTGGGGTTTGGAACATCTTCCCAAAACAGTTTTTTCATTCTACAAAGGATAAACAAGACATTAGAATTAGAGAATATATAATTGAACATGTTAACAGTTACTGCATGTACAAAGTAGAAATAAATCCAGCTATACTTCAATAGTGTCAGATTCATTTTCACGTTATCCCATGAAGATTTCCACCAATCTTCTGTCCAGACCAAAGTAACAATCACTGTAGTAGTAAAAATAGCCAATATTCATTGAAAATTTATTTTTTCCAGTTACTGTGCAAGAAAACAAAATATTAAAAATGGCCAACAACTGAGTTTCAGAAACAAGTCTACTTCTTAAGGTCTCGTTAGCTCACTTGAGTCAAGATAAAAATCTGATTCTAAAAATCTCTCCTTTTTATATTTGCTAGAAGACAAAAGTTTATGTAGAGATTTGACCTGTAAAATAAACTCATTGGTCTGGAGTTCTCTGTATAGGGTCATGTGGTCCCCATTTGTCATCCAAGGAATTTAAGGTCATTGCAGAAAAGACAGACTGTATCCACACAGTGCTGATTTTTAAAAAGGGCTTTTTGATTAATGCATAGACTGCACTAACATCCTCAATCCAAAATACATAACTCTGAAAGTCACTGTTTCACCTCCAATAATATGCTGTTGAGCATTTCCTGTGATAAGTTTGTTATTTCCGTTATATAGAGTATATTTTTTAAAAAACTAATATCTTTTGTGAGGTTTATGTTATATTAGCAAAACAAAATGTGACTTTCTTCAAAGGGTTTTTTATTTGTATGTCACTTTATTGATATACTAACTACAAATAAAACTATTTAGAATAATTTAATGTTTCTAGCTTGGATTTTAAATCAATGTTTAAATATGCTAAAGATTCTTGACATCAAGTACAATACCTTTGATGTGATATTAACAATGTTCCAAACAATAAGACTGAAGAGGAAATAATTATTGGCACAATTACATATAAACCTGCATCATTCTGATGTTTTGCAATATCATCTGAAAAAGAAAAGCCATTTATACATCTCAGAAGCTTATGATAATAACTTTCTATAATAAAAATTATAATGGAATTTTTTTATTTCATCATAAATTATAACAACTTTAAAATATAAAAATTAAAGAATGGGAAATAAAATTATAGTTGTGATCACATTAACAAAAATGATTGTTTTGTTTAGAATTATGCTTGAAATTTTCCAAAACATGTTTTCAAAAGACTGTTTGCCAGTTCATCTATGCATTTTTAGGCTATAGGAGTCAAATAATTAATGTTGTTAAGCATCTTTCAGCATCTGCTTCCGGAGAAGTCAACTGCAACACCTGACTATCTTGATCAGGTTCATCTAGCAGCACTTATCTCCTTGTTGTGTCTTAAACCACCCAGCACCTCACTCTTCAGGTTCTCTACACTTGCTGTCTTTTGCAGAATTGCTCTTCCACCATTTACTTGCAAGGTCTTACCCAAATATCTCCAGAGAGGAAAATATTTCAGCCATTCTAACTAAATACTTATTTCTATTGAATTTTTTTTAAAAAATTATTTATTTATGCATACAGAACTGGGGTGCAGGCAAGAGATGCAGGGGCAGTGAGACAGAGACAGAGTGAGGTGCAGAACAGGCAGATCGAGGAAGTACACTGCTTAGTGGAGCAGCAAGTGAGATAGAAGAGGCCTGTAGTGCCATGTGGGTCACCTCAGGGCTGGGGTTCAAACTCTCAATGAAGTGGCTGTGGCTAGCTTGCAGTACTGTGCTATTTAGCTCACCGCGCCACCAGGGAAAACCCTATTTCTAATTAATTTTTAACTTTTCCCCCTCCTCTTACTTTCCTTTTGCATCATTGAACTTCTTTCTACCTGACTTCATTGAAAACATACTTGCTTTATTGTTTGTTACTCCCATTAGAGTACTAGAGGATAAGCTTCACTAAGGGCAAGGACTTATATATCCCCTGCTCAATATCTTGGGCTTAGAATAGTGCTAAACTTAAATTTGGTAAATAATGTATGAAAGATTTTTTAAATAATTGTTTTAATTTTAAAAAAGCAGGTAAAATATTTTTGTCTTGGAATTTTATTACAGGAGTGTATAGATTTCAAGACAGTTTGAAAAGTCAGGGCAAAATCAAAATGCTGATACACCAAGTATGGTAAGATGAATCTGAAATGTAAGAGTTCTAGAAAACTTATGTCCATCTGTATATAGCCCCTCATGTTTTATTTTTAGAGAAAAAAAATCAGAAAAGTTAATTACAATTTAATGACTCATAAATATGTACTATAAAATATCTTGTTTAAGGTAGGTATGTTTATAAGAATTTCACAGAAAATTACAATTTTCCAATTAATCTTTACAATGATGTATGGTATTACACATTTCAACTTTTTACCCAACTTGAATGTGAAAATTTTACTTAACAATATGGAAATTCAACATTATGCCTAATGATTCTTCTATCAGCTTGAAACCTACTGGAGAGTCCCCATGACACAGCCAGTTAGGTCTCTGAACTCTCCCATGACTCCATCAGGAAGAAAACAGCCAGTTACAAAAATTATTGCTAAGAAGGAAACCACTCATCTGCATAAGAAGAAACGAAAAATAAAAATGTTACCTTGGTTAAAACTATTAATTATCTTCGGTTTTCCCACTCCTTCCATAAATACTGGATAAAGACTGAACTGATAACTTTCAATTGGAATAAAGTGATCTAAAAAGGAAAGTATATTAAAGGTCATTCCTATGGAATTAATATTAATAAGTGAATTATTTGTAAAAATGTTTAAGTGACTCTCCTACATTTCCAAACAGAAATTAGTTGTTATTTATAGACTGAAATTGATGATTAAAGGAATTTCTAAAACACACAACCACTCCCAAATCTACTAGAAATGATATAATTCACAAATAAATTACAGATTTTAACTACTGGTAGAAAGTGTAACTTTTTGGAAGGCATTTTTCCAGTGATAGCCAACTTGTTGAAGTTCAGGGTGAATGAGTAGTTTACCTTCCCTGTCCATGGTAGCATGCTTGACCTCCCCTCCTATATCCCAAATTCAGAAATATTCCCTTTACACAGGATTTAACTTATGTATACTTAGTTCCCTCAACCAAGGAAGCTGACAGAATACATAAAGTCTTGTAAAGTCCTATACAGTGAAGACTGGAGGTGAGGAGGAGGGAGTAGGGATCTCCTTTCAATATCCAGGGATCTAGATCAAAGCAAGCACCTCCATAACGAAGTTCAAAATGAATCCATCAGAAATCTATCACTTAGAGAAGTTCTGTTAATATATGTCTTAAGATTATATTTATTTATTTTGCATCCTAAAACCTATGACAGAGGTGCAATAGGGAAAGGAGTTAAGAGGATTCCCAAAAGACAACAGTAGGAGTACAACAGGTGGATTTACTGAAATATACTGTAAGGGGAACAGCAGGCGAGAGAGGATTTACTGAAATACACTGCACCATGTGGGTTAGCACCCTGGCCAGGTATCGAACTCAGGCCCCAGAGGTGATAGCATGATGGTGCTGATACTTAACCCCTAGGTGACCAGGGAGGCCCACAAGTGCTATTAATATATAAAAATTACTCCAAAGGATAAAATTCTCTCTGAAGCCTAATTTATTTAACCACATGATTTTTTTTTTTAAGAAAAGCATAGGGATTAACCACCTGAACACATCAAATTTTGTTCTCTATCAAGATTTTGTTTCTATTTACACTGATGTTAAAGTCTAGATTTTTGGAAGAATGAGTCTTTGGGATGAGATCATACAGTAAGTTCATGGTGTTCCCTGGCTACCCTACTTAAACCTTACTCTGACTTGGGGATGCTTGTTGTACACTTTCACCTTGTACTAGAATCACCTCGTGAGGCCACTAGTCTATCTGAAGGGGTCTATCCTGACCTATGTTACCAGGTCCCACATCCTCAAACCTTCAGACTGGCACCCCTATGCCTTGTTAGTGGCATTATATGTTGGTACATAATTTAGAAAACAAGTTTACAGTAGATAGCAAAGCCACCATAAATGTTGCAGTAGTTGTAAGCAACATAAACATTCTCAAATAAATGAATAACTTAAGAAGATTTTGTAATAAAATCTTGATAGGGTAGGAGAAGGGCAAAAGGGAGCCCAGTGGAGGATTATTATGGCTTTGCTGGTGAATATGGATGAAATCATTGATTTGTTGAAGTTGGAACTTATAACCCCTAACAGAAAAGCAGTGTCAAACTTTACCTTAATTTAAAAAAAAAGAAAAAAGAATGATTAAAACATTATGAGTTATTTAAATACCTAAGGATCAAATTAAATAAATATTTGTATAAGGTGATAGAATAACATGGATTAAGTTGGCAGAACCTGTATTTTTGAAGTTTTTGTTAACTGATTATATTATTTCAATTAACAATCTGCCCTATATTAAAACATAAAGAAACATTAAAGTACAATAAACATACCATGAATATAACACTTCTTAGAAGATGAGGGGATTCTAAGCCATTTAATTTCAGTGTCTTCATTAAGAATTTTCCACTCCATAATAAAATACATCAGATTGTAATCACTGGGTGATAGCATCCAGGAAAGAATCACACAACTGCTATTTAAAGGATAAGCACTGAGTGACTGCACGGTATTTACTGAGGGGAAAAGAAGGAAATATATTTTTAAATATAAAATTCACAAAAATCTGCTAATATCCTTGAGAATATCTAATTTACTGGAAAGGGGAGCAGGAAGAGAAGGAAGACATTTACACAAATTAATATAATACGGCAACCATTTTTATAGTTAAGTCATAAAAAAGAGATGTAATATGTAGGAGTACATAATGAGGAGAAACTAAAATTCAAACAGGATATTTGAATAGTCAAGGGTGACCTCCACTGGAATACTGTACAAGACAATTATACACCTAACTCTCTTCAAACTTTCTCTTGCTGCGGGAAGATGGAATCCTTCATCTCCTTTCCTGTGCCATAAAGACTCTTGATCAGACTGCTGTCTTGGGAGTCAAATCTCTTCACTCTATATTTTGGTTCCTTTTTCCTTTACTTTTAGGAAATTATATTCCTTTCATGGGAACACATATCTCAATCTGTAATAGGCATTCAATTGTATGGTTACTTTATTAACATCTGTCTCACCTATTGCCTCTGAATGCCGAGACCATTATTGTTTATCTCTGGAATTCTCACCACTTCTCACATTGCAATGTTTAATAAATATTTCTAGAGCACATTTGTTGAAGATATTTAAAGTGTAAAACATTGTGCCAGGTACTGCAAGAAGGGACTTGCAAGAAGCTTACACTGTAAGTACAACAGTAATGTTCATATAATGCCAAGATATAAATTACTTTTTAAAAGGCAGAAAGCACTCTGATTTAAATAAAAGACATAAGCAATAAGCAATGATTTCATGGGAAGGTCTTCATAGATTAGTAGAGGTATAGGAAATTTGAATTATCCATTTAGAAGCTATATTTTAAATATATTATCCAGATTAGAAATTCCTATTGAAAGTAGTTCTTAATTTGTTGATTAATCAAAAATGTCAAAATTAATGAAAGAGGGTTCATCACATAGCAAATGAAGTATAAGGTAATTTTGAAGTCTGATCAATTACTTGCATTCATATATGTCAAGTGTGTTATTTACTAGAATTACATATGTGTGTTATTTACTAGAATACCACTATATACTATTGTACTATTTCAACCATGTTCTAGTACATGAAAACTCAGGGGCCATACTACATAATCAGAGTACAATCTGTTTTACTATTTTTCAAAGAAAAGATGAACGAGATTTGAGATTCAGGGACACACAGGTCTTGAAAGTTTATTTACAATGGAGGAGTCTGTAAAGATCAAATATTAACAGCAATTTACTACCAAAACCTTATCTTACCTTTGCCCACAGGCCACGAGAATGTTAAATTAGAGTTTGCAAGCGAAGTACCAATTGAATTGATGGCCAGAACTGTAACTGTATGTGCTTGCTCTGTCCACAGGAAAGTGAATTTAGTGTGATTACCTACATCTTCTGACCATGTTCTATTGTGGGAAGTATGATGTTTGATCACATATCTTTTCACACTGCACAATGAATCATTTTTCATCAAAGGCTGCAGGACACATAACAATTGATTAGGGTCAGGGTTAGCATGTTTTTTATATAATCCCAGGTTATAAAGAACTCTTAAAATACATTTCTGGACCCTCCCTGGTGACACAATGGGTTAAAGCGCAGCACTAAGAAGCTAAAGATACTTCAGCGTAAGTTCAATTCCCAGCCAGGGAAGGTGACCCACATGATATGGCAGACCTCTCCTGACCTGCCCACTGCTCCCCTCAGCAGAGTTCTTCATCAGTCAGCTTATTAGGCTATCCAATCTGTCTCTGGTGAATCTTCTCACTGCCCCTATACCTCTGGCCCACACCCCAATTCTTTTTGTGCAAATAAATAAATTTTTTTAAAAAAATACATTTCTCACTGGGAGATTGGGGTCAGACCAGGGCAAGCACTGCCTATTTCAAGGATGAAGCTTGTGGAGGTAGAGTAAGATAGAACCTGCCTCTGACCACAGACCCAATGAAAATAGCTGTCAGGGATGGAGCATAGGAAATTTACTTTAATCCTTCAAGTAACAGGGGCTATTAGGATGAAGCATATGGCAGCCCAAAATTTCTACTCCAAAGCTAAAAATAATCATGCAAGATTATTGAGATTGCAAAGACTACTACCAATCCTATGTCAATCTATAGAAAGTATGAATTTATACAATGGTCTAGAACAGTGTTTCTCAATGTCTTTGTCATTGAGATTCCTCTAAGCTAAAAATAAGAAAGAGAGAAAACACACACACACACACACACACACACACACATAGACATGTATCCCTGCAGGCCTGGAAACAATCTGGGTAGATTAAGGAGTAAGATTTTGGCAGAAACTGCAAGAAAGAAATATCTGGAAAGTCATGTGAATTCTGCATTTTTGTTTTTGAAAATTTATGTCAGTTATCTTACACAAATAGTTACTTTTGTAACCATCAGTAAAAATAATGATAAACTTGCTTACTTTTTGGTAATTCAAGTAGCTCTTGGCTCATCTTGGAAATTTCTTGCCCTGGCCCTATAACTGGTCATTTTCACAAGAAGCCTTAATTCCTTTTACTGAGGAATGGTAGTAGAAACATATTGGTATGTTCCTCACTATTTCTTCATGTATTTCTCAGCTCACATCTACATATCTACATACCTAGAAATATTTTTAAGTGAATCCATCTGTATCCATATTAAGCTGTACAAGAATTCACACTGATATCTCCAACTCTAATCCATTATCAATGGGTTAATCTGGTCTCCTTGATTGTCTGTAAATCCTATCCTCCAAATCCATCTGTTTAATTGTTTAAGTTCAGCTTGTAAATAATAATGGTACAAGAAAGTTTAATGAACATCCCATGAGAAATAACTATCAAGTAGAACACAGTACTTAATGCAGTTTCTTTGCCCTTTGTTGAAAGAATCTACTCATCTTATGAAGTTACTTAAACCTGCACCTTTTCTCCCCCTTCCTCATAAGACTGTTTCAAACACTTGAAGTATAATTAGATTCACTTGTTGAAGTCTGAATTCCATCCTGGGGTCTTTCAATCTCACAGATGATTTATTATAATTGTGTTCTTGTGCTATAAAGTTTTATGAGTTTTGGCAGACACACAGTGCTATGAACTCACTAAAATAATATTTATAGATTCATTTCAGCACTATAAAAAATTCCTTGTGTCTCACCTTTTCAAACCTTTCCCCAACAGCCAAAACACTGATCTTTTTTAACATATCTAAAATAATACCTTCTCTAGAATACCATATGAGTGGCCACATAATGTGGCTTTTCAGACAGACTTCTAGCACTTGGCAGCAACCATTTAAGATTCATCCACGTCTTTTGGGGACTTTTTTAATCACTGTATAATTTTCCACTGAATGGAATTCCAATAGTTTATCCACTCACCTATAAAAAATATCTTGATTGCTTTCATTTTTTGATGATTATGAATAAAATTGCTGTGGATGTTCATATGCAATTGTTTCTTGACATATAATTGACATATAACATTGTATTAGTTGTGGATATTTAGCACAATGATTTGACATATGTATATTTTGTAAAGTGATTATCACAATAAGTTAACACATAGCACCATACATAGTTACAAATTTTTTTTCTCTTGTGAGAACTTTTAAGACTTACTCTTCTAGAAACTCAAAAATACAATACATGTTACTAATTATTGTTGCCAGAGTGTACATTACATCTTAGGACTTATTTATCTCATAGCTGGAAATTTGTTACTTCTGCTAATCCCATCCCCCTGCCTCTGGCAACCACTGTTCTTTGTTATTTATTAGTTCAGGTTTTGGATTTCTTTTAGAATCCACATATAAGTGAAATAATACAGCATTTGTCTTCCTCTGTCTGACTCATTTCATGTATATGCAAGTTTTTATTTGGACACAAGTTTTCAACTCAGTTGGGTAAATAAATAATGCAGTGCTGGATCATATGGCAAGAATATGCTTAACTTTGTAAGAAACTAGTAAATGGTCTTGAAAGGTGACTGTACCATTTTTTTTTTTTTGCATCCCCACCAGCAAAGAACAGAAGTTCCTGTTGCTTTGTTTCATCATCAGCAATTTTTGTCAGTTTTTTAAATTTAACCATTCTAAAACCTTGTTTTAATTTACAATTTCCTAGTGAAAAATATGTTTGCAATGGACTAGATATGAATGCCCAAATCTGATCAAGTTAATTAATTCACTTGAGACAAAAATCAGTTTCATGTAAGAGAGAATGCTGTGATCATTGTCAGACTGAATACCCACTGATGATGAAAACATTTATTGCTTATAAGCCATCATACAAACAGAATAATCTCAACAGGTAGGTAAACTGGAAAAATATGAGGAAGTTCACATTTCTATTTTTAGGAATAAATATAAGTAGAATTTTTGGACATGAAGGAACACTAAGTATCATCTAGTTCAACCCTACATTTATTCAAATGAGGGAAATCAGGTGTGATCCTGTACTTCTGAATTATTATATATGCTATAAACAAAACTCAGTTAAACAAAAAATATAAGAGACTCTAAGTGATTTTGCCAAAATAGTGCAGGAATGATTATGATATATTAAATTAAAACTGAATTGAAATATGGAGTTACAGAGCCTAAACATGACAGGATTATGAACAATAAAGTAAATATTTTCAAAGTTTAAAACTAAAAATTAAGAAAAAAAAGCAGGAATACCTTCCAAAGTAAAGTGACATTTCTCTCTTTTTTAGTGGTGTCTTCTTTAATTATTCGCCAAAACTGAGGTCCTCTGGTAGGAACTGTATAACAACAAGGAGCCCAAATTGTACTTGTGTTCTTGGGAGGATTGCTTTTCCTCAAAAGACACACTTACACATTTCTAAGACACATGTACAAAAGCGCTGCAGACCTTTTATATCTGTGACAACAGTGTGGACTGGGGCACTCCAGTTGCTCCAATACCCCAGGCCATCTAGCCTCTTACAGCGCATCTGAACAACATAGATGGCACAGAGGTCTGGCACGGGGACACTGGCGGATTTTGATTTTGGGTCATACACTTCATGCATCTGTAAAATAAACCGAAACATTGGTTAGACTGATCATAACATGTAAGTAACTAAGAATCCTTAGTATGTTAAATGTAATTTGTGACTATGCAGCTGACTTGAAAGTATATCTTTTGGTGTCATATACTATTTTCTTAAACAAATATAAGTATATATTTTTCAAATAATAATACCTATTATTTCATCCCAAAGTTGAAAAAGAATCGACTGTGTATTTGTTTTTAAAATACTCATATAAGGGTTAGATTTTGAACCACCGTAAAGTTAAAGATTATCTTAGTTACCTTGTTATTTCCTTGCTTATGACAACATTTTGAACTGACCATTTGTAACCTCACTTTCCTTTCCAATTACATTTACCCTATTAATAATCTCTGCTCCCCTCACAAATAATCTTCTTACCATAAAGGCTTTAGAAAATTTTAACCTACTGGTTAGATAGGGCCTACTGTTGAGAATCTGGCATTCAGTCTCTTCAGTAAACTGGTAAACAGTTAATTTATTTCAATTCAAATCACTGTAAGCAAATGATGATATTAGGGCTCCTGTTATTTCTAGGACTTTGCAGGCTGCCATCAGAAAACTGACATGGTAAGCCATCACAGCATACTTGCCACAATGGGTATTATTCTGATTGTTTGATGAAAGTGGTTTCTTGCAAAATATATTCCATTGAATATATGAACACTAAAGTATGTGATTATTAGATGTTAAGAGAAAAATGTTCCCTCAGTAAAGTGATTTTGAGAAAATAGGCTGAAATAAAGTCACAGAGGTGTCTTTCATAGAGGACCTCTCCAAAACCTTGACTATGTTCTTGGGACACAGAGTGATGCAGTTTCCTAAATGTATTTAGTCAAGTGATCTTTCCTCAAGGAAGATTTTCTGGATCAGTGCTCTGTAAATATATTTTGCAAAATGATGGAGTGCAGGAAATGTAATTCCTTAAAAGGGTTAGACTTAGATCAATTTATTTTACAAAAACAGGTACAGAAGACAGAAGCATGTACTTTTATGATAACAAATTACATCGTATGCAATAAGATTCTTAAACATAGGAAATAACATTTAGAGAGACATGTTAGAGAGATTTCTAGGTGAAGTTACCTTCCATTGTATTTCCTTTCCACTTAAACCATAGCGAATCTGGAACTGAAGATTATTCTCTGGAAAGACTGGCTTTTCCCAAGATATTTTCAGTAGCCCAGTTTTTACAGTTATTTCTGCTCTCACTCTGGATGGAGGCAGTGGTTTCACTGGAAAATTTTAAAAAACAATCACATTACATAAAAATTTAAATAGTAATGATGCTAGTAAAACACATTAATTTTCAAATCTTATATTTCTAAAGCAATTATCTCCTTCTCAAAACTTTTTCATTCATAATCTCTGCTGATCCCCTACAAACTTTATATCATACATAGAAAGGGATTATTTCTGTTTTGTAAATAAAGAAGTATCTTGAAAAAATCAACATATTGTCCATGTCACTGTGCAAATCAACAGTAAGACATGACTAAAAATTTAGTCACTGGTTCAGACGTAAAATATATCAAACTAAATATGTGATGACTTCTTTGTTCTAATTATCTCTTTACCATCTTCTATCTATCTATCTATTTATCTATCTATTTATTGAGATGTTGTTGGTTCACAACACTGTATATGATGTAGGGGAATAAATTCACACATCTTTAAGATACAGGTAATCAAACCACTTCTGCATAGTTTCCCAAGAAAATAGTATATATGACACCAAAAGATGTACTTTCAAATCTGCTGCACAATCATAAATGGGTAATTTCTCAATAATTTCACAGAAATCCTGGAAGGATTTGTCAAATTTTTCAAGGTCTCTCTTAATGCTTGGAAATCAAAATATCTTTTAAAATAGACTGATAAATGTCATCATCCTTGTCTATTTTCTCTTTTTTCACAGTATATTATTTTGAATACTATTATTAAATTCTTGGTGATCATGGAAGTGTATGCTGAAAATATTCTGATTGCTAAAAATTTGTTATAAGGAACTTGAAATAAAAATATTCATTTATGTGGTATATAGAAAAACACAGAAAGGATAAAAATTAAACTTTTGAACTATAAGGCCAATTAGTGATTTCCAGAGGGGAAGGCAAAAGAGGTGGTTAAATTTGTGAAAAGGGGATGTGAAGGGAAGACTTGGACTTTAGTGGTGAACATTAAAGGGGCATATTCATATGTTGGTTCCCAATGATGAGTAACTGAAACTTATATGCTATAATGCAATGTTACTTCAATGAAGAAAGTAGGACTGGTTATCTCCTCAAATCCTTTGCTGAACAAGAAAACAAAGCTTAACTAGTGAGATCAAGAAATGGCAAAACCTAACAGTTTCTTAGAATCGACTAGAATTCAAATTTGCTAATCAAAATGAAGATACACAACACATTAATATACCTGCAGAATCAGGAACAACACATATTGGAGGAGAATCAAGTGAACCTAAAGAGTGATTGATCCTAATCCACATTGTGTAGCCAGATAATAGAAAGATTGGTTGAAATACACATTCATAAAAACCATCTCTCTGCAAATGGCAATCTTTGTGTTCAGATACAGGATGAATGGATGGGACATCAGAACAATAAAGGCTGCTCCTTAAAAGATATAAAAACACTCAATTAACAGAGTGATAACATTGAGAAAAGCTGTAAGAGAACTGAGAACTCTGTTATTTAAGACAATCAATATAAAAAAAATGTTCTTACTAAAAAGGCATTTTTTAATCCCAGCTATATCACAATTTTATGCCTTTCCATAAAAACAGATAGTAATCTTTACTTAATATCTCCTTACACACTAAGTGGGGATGCACATAAAATAAATGACATTAACAAGGAGATAACAATTCAGTAAAGGTAGATCAACAACATTTTGAAAGCTAACTAGTATTATGCCAAAGTGAAAAATTTCTAAAAGTATAGATCTAAAGTAGCAATACATCATTGCTGAGATTGGAAGGGAGAAAAATTCTTCACACTTTAAATAAAAATTAAATGCCATATCAAATGGAAAGCATAACTAACAGTAAATAATGCTTAATTACAGTGTCTTAATATTTTCCAGTTCAAAACAAGATAATTTTAAAAATGCCAATGTTGATCCTAAATGAATCACATAATCAAATATACCATTAATTTTCTCAAAGAAGGAAATTTTTTTAAAAAATTTAACTGACTCCTAATAAATACTTCAATTATAACACACTAAGCTTTCTTTTCTCCTCCTTCTGTCACTGCTTGCTTTGAAAATGGCTTTTTAATAAGAAAAAGTAGCGGTTGGTTTCCATAAGAATGGAAGTAAGGAATTTATTGAAAGGAATAAATTCTTCATTCTTTTTTCCCATTTGCATTTTCTGTGCTACTTTTTTCCCTCAAAATTTATGATCATGCGGTGTGTGTGTGTGTGTGTGTGTGTCAATGAGAGGTGATGAAGGGGTTAAAAAAAAAAAAGAACCAGGCCTTACATGGAAGCACAGTAATAGTCACCTGGAACCCAAAGGTTAGTATCACTATAATTATGACAAAAATAACCTTTGACTGAAAAATAACCTTATGACAAAAATAACCTTTATCAGGAGAAATTATATCATTTAATTACAATTAAATATTTCATTATTTCTTAGAGGAACCTCATTTTACAGACAAGAAAATTGAGACTTAGATTTAAAAAGCCAAACTTTCCCTTTCATGATTCTTCTGTAAGATGAGACAGAATTTATGTAATAATCACTCACAAATACCTTTTCTAATGTGAAAATGTCATAGAAAGAAAGTAAATACAGATTATAAAAGTAAAAGTGCATACCATGCACGTTCTATGAATTTAAAAAGTCTTTCATCAGATAATATGAAGGTAATTCATTGAGGAACACAGACATTGCCTCATTTTCTCAAGACTGGTAATATTAGGAATAGAATTTGAATCACAGAACTTGAAGATGACTAGTTTTACAAGTAGAACATTTAAATTTTTAAAATAACTGAACACAAGTTATACAAATTTAAAGTTGTATATATATATATATATATACACACACACACTTGAGAACTAGTATGGGATATTATAGAAATTAAATGTATCTATCATCTCCTAGCCATGTGAGATTTTAGATAAAATTCTTTGTAGAAAAGAATACTATAGAAAAATACCCTGCATTTTTCTTAAACAAGGAAGGGTAAAAATAAATGAACACAAATTTTTCTTTATTAGAAAACTTTCTAAGTTTCTTGTTTTTTTTAGTAACCTTACCTACTTCTAAAATCACTCATATTGTCTCTTACAATCTTCTTGCCACTGTTTTCTAAAACAATCTTAAGCAAATAACAACAGGCTTCAATAATCTTCAAATTTCTCTAGTGAATTCTCTAAATCAAATTAGAATGCACAGAAACTAACATTTTTTAAGTTTCATCCAATAGTTAAAATGCAATGTGAAGAAATGTCAGAAAAAATAATCTGTAGTAAGTGCAAATTTTTTCAAGAAACATCCATGTAGTACTACAATCTCTCAAAATTTCCCTAAGTAAGCATATTCTACCTCCTATTTCAGGAAGGAAATCTACACAATATTTCTATAGGAAATTTTTATCTCACCCTATCCACAGAAAATAAAGCAGCAAAAACAATACATACCTATGATATCTCAACTGCAAAGTACTTCCCACAAGTGATTCGATTGCATTGGTTGACCATCTGCAAGTCATTTTAGTTAAGTACCCATCAGTTTCACATGATATATTGATATTGACATCTATTTAAAACACATTAAAATATTAATATAAAGCAAAAAACACCAAAAATTGTTAACGAAAATAAACTTTCCTTACATCTTCAATAAGACTTTAATACAGGGTCCATAATCAAAAATGAAGAAAACTTCATATTCTTACCGATCACGTACAGCTCAGCATAGCGATGGTGACATTCATGCTCGTGGCAACAGTACACAGCATCGTAGGTGAACTTCCCTCGAGGTTTGGTTGCATTCAAATTGGGAAACGTAACTTTGCTAACACGGTCACCCACAGCATGATACTGGCTTTGAGGAATTTTCTCAGCTAAATTCATCCACCAAACAATCTTCTTTGAGGAAACAATCTTGTTTTCCTTTTTATAGATGCAGTGAAAAGAAACATTGGACCCAACACTTGTCAGAATTTTAGGTGGAAAGTAAATAACATCTGTAATGAAGAAAGGTAGGCTATCAGATGAAGACAGAAACCATGGTGAAGCAGTTCACACTATGTAAAAAGATTCACAGCACCGTCTGAATTAAAATGAGTGTTCTGAGAGACTACAGCAAAACTGTAATTGTCTATTTGTGTATAGTTACTTAGTATTCCAAGAACTCCTGTTCTCAGATGACTTGAGCTTTCATACGTGCCTTCTGTATTTCCTAAATACAGATTTATTCATCACAAAGTTAGTGAGTGCTAATATACAGATAATGAAAATTAAATTCATTCTAACTCCACCGGGATCAGTATGTTTCCACCAGATTCTGCTTTCAGAATGAGGAAACCTGAGAGTGAGTTCTTAAATCAAAAGACAAAGAGGGAGTTATTTATGGTCTCATTTGGTGTATGAAAATTTCAACTAAATAGGCAAATTCAAAAAGAAAGCATAAATAAGAAAAATATTTAGGAGATATAAAACTAATGATGCAACAATAAAGCAGGAAAAACTGTAAACATGGTCTATAATACCATGTTGAGTTGCTTAATGCCAGTATCCTGTGGTTGAAGATGGAGTCAGTATTTTTCTAAAACAGCATTGTCTTAATAGCTCTAAACTCGTCCATACTCCTTTTGAAGTTCACTATTGCTGAACTTTATAGTTCAACATAGCTTGACTAGATGTTTAAATAGAAACAGAAAAGAATGTAAGTTAACAGTTGTTTAAACAGGAAGAACCTTTCTGCCATAGTATTATCAAATCAATATATATTGGCTGTACTATTTAAGGTGGGCCAATTTCTGCAGATAGAATATGAATTCTATTTTCACATGTACCTTCTGGATTAGCTCCCAAACAAACAAACAAACAAAAAATAAACAAAACTGGTGTTATTATTTCAGTTTTCACTTTTCTGTAACAGCATGTTAGACGCCAATGTCTTTTCTTACTTATAATTCATACTAGACATTTGTATTTGTATATCTACAAAAAAAAACATGAAAGTATAGGACAAAAATCAGTCAATTAGATTTATGATCTAGCCCAGAGTCTCTCAAGTCTCATTAATACATTATTTTACTGTACCCATGTACCAAACAACGACCACAGAAATTGTTAACCTAACTTCACATGTTCCACATCTCATTACTGGAAAAAAAAAAAAACCTCAGAATTCATTCATTAAAAAAATACTTTTAAGGCCCTCCCTGGTGGCGCAGCGGGTTAAAGCACAGCACTGAGAATCTGAAGCCACTTCCGCATGAGTTCGATTCCCGCCTGCCTCCTGCCCGGAGGAGACCACATGGCGAGCCAGACCTCTCCTGACCCGCCCGCTGCTTCCCTCAGCAGTGTACTTCGTAGATCTGCCTGTTCTGTTCCCCACTCTGTCTCTGGTGAAGCTTCTCGCCGCCCCTGAGCCTCTGGCCTGTACCCCAGTTCTGTATGCACAAATAAATAAATCTTTAAAAAAAAAAATACTTTTAAAGTACTTAAAAATATGTTATTATTAAAATAATAAGTTTTAAAGATAATTAAAAACTCAAATTATATCATTTCAAAATTGAGTACATATAGTTAAGACTTAATTGAAAAGCAGGATTAAAATCATAGTTGGCATGGTTAAATGCTAAAATATTACCTTAAAAATAAGAAAAACAGGCCCTCCCTGGTGGCGCAGCGGGTTAAAGCACAGCACTGAGAATCTAAAGCCGCTTCTGCATGAGTTCGATTCCCGCCCGCCCCGGAGGTGACCACATGGTGTGGCAGACCTCTCCTGACCCGCCCGCTGCTCCCCTCAGCAGTGTACTTCATCGATCTGCCTGTTCTGTTCCCCACTCTGTCTCTGGTGAAGCCTCTCGCCGCCCCTGAGCCTCTGGCCTGTACCCCAGTTCTGTATGCACAAATAAATAAATCTTAAAAAAAAAAATAAGAAAAACAAGTTGCTAAACATAATTAAAGCACAGATGTATAAAATTTTTATTAAAATAATATATTGAGGGCCTCCCTGGTGGCGCAGTGGGTTAAAGCACTGCACTGAGAAGCTTAAGCCACTTCCGCACGAGTTTGATCCCTGCCTGCCCCGAGGAGGTCCACATGGTGTGGCAGACCTCTCCTGACCCGCCCGCTGCTCCCCTCAGCAGTGTACTTCATCGATCTGCCTGTTCTGCTCCCCACTCTGTCACCCTCCGCATCTCTGACCTGCACCCCAGTTCTGTATGAACAAATAAATAAATCTTTAAAAAAATAATAACATATTGAAAATAACATAAGATAAATATTAGATATGCAATTGTCAAAATAATATATATTTTATTCTCATTTAAAATACAATGCAGTGTTTAATTTGTAAAATAAGAAAACAATAATGATTTTCTTTTCATGACAAAGTACTAAGAGCTATACCTTTGCAAGTTCTACATCAATAAACCTTAGGAAAAGAAGAAATTCTATTGATAAATATTAGTGAATTAACTAATCGAATGGCATTAAATTAAATTGAAAGAACACAAATAATGAATTGAAATATTTTAAATAAAGTTATTTAAATGTGTCTTTTTTAGAGCTCTAGGAAATTGATTTTTCAATTTGTGGAGCAGACTACTGACTACTGAAGTTTTTTAAGGGGAAATACTTTCTCTAACGCATTATAAGAGTTGCCAAGTATGAAGCGACATTTTATCTGTTTCTTTACTTCTTTAGCAATAACAAAAATGCCATTAATAAAGGCATTACAAGAATTCAGCACTCCTAAAGTAATTATCAGTATGTTGAAAGACTTAACTGCAATAGTCTTAGTCTTCATAAGTCTGGCAAAGTCCTAGTTTCTCTCTAAAAAGCCAAGACTGCCCAGTAGCTACAGAAAAGATCCTAGACAATTTATTTCAAAAGAATCCATAAGAATTTCTTGATTAAAAATAGTCAATGCTTCATTAGTTGTGTACCTTGGAAGGTATAACTTTAATATATCAATGAATACAAAGTAGTAATTATAAAGGTACTAATGGTTGCATTCTGTTTGTTATGGTAGCAGGACACCAGATGACCTCTGATTGAAAAAAAATCAATAAAATCCAGTGTATTTGAAAATGATAAAGCAGGTATATATATTCATTCCTTCTAAATAAAGTACTATCTTACTATTAAAAATAATTTTCTTTTCTGGATACCATTAACCACATAGCAGTGAACAATGGAGGAGAATCTATTAAATGCCAGGGTTTAAAGGATTCAAATCTCTTTACAAAAAGTTCCCAAGTTTAGAGAAATGAATTTTGTTGCTGCACACCAACTGAGTGTTGTGAAGGTGGTAATTGCTACAATGGTAATTCAGCAGAACTAACCTAAAAAACATGAACATTGAACATTGAAATCTCATTTTCCAGAAATCAGGAAGAAAATGAAGCATTCCATTAAAATTCTCTACATAATTAAGCCTACTGCTTTATCAACCTTCAGTGCCACTAGGGTATCTTACATAATTACATATTATTCACTCAATCCCTTTATTAATAGCTATAAATAGGAACTTTGAAATTAGACTGCCAGCTCTACTACTTTATGAATGCATCAACTTTTACAAATTATTTACCTCTTTAAATTTGAACTTCTTTGCTTATAAAAGGGGAAATGTAGTGTTGGAAGGACACAATTTATATATGTAAAGCACTTAGAACACTGCCTAAAACATTAGAAGGACACAAAGTATATGTAGAGCACTTAGAACACTGCCTAAAATATAGGACACACCTATCACTGTCACTGTTAGAGAGGATTATGAACTATCTCTTATTGGTGATTCAGTACATCATTACAGTAGGTGGCACTGTAATAGAGAATTACTCATAATGCTATGGAAGTGTGTAAGTTTTATTCTTTCTCTTAGTGTCCCTAGTCTACTTTCTAAGCTAAATCTGTTAAATTAGTTATTTCACTTTACATTCATTGCTAAATAAACTATTCTATTCTCTGTGGAAGCTATTTACTAACTGGATTTATTTATTTTTCAGCTTTTTCTCTATAGGATGGCTAAAGTTTTTAGAGACCCTTGTGATGAATAGGTAAAAATGAGTTGTTAAAGGTATTACTGTTGAAGATGTTAAGAGCAAACTAACTGGCAAAGTTTCTTTTCTATAAAATATATCTGCATTGAATGTTGTGAAGGTGGTAATTGCTACAATGGTAATTCAGCAGAAATAACCTAAAAAACATGAACACTGAACCTTGAAATCTCATTTTCCAGGAATCAGGAAGAAAATGAAGCATTCCATTAAAATTCTCTACATAAAACATAAAATATTTATGGAAGGGCAAATATATGTGTGTATGTGCTTTTAGTAAATATTATAAATTTGTGTTATGTATGAAAGAATAATGTTTTGTAACATGTAATATTTAAATAAAATGTTAACATTTGAAATTTATGTCAAAATATCTGACTTTTGAATGTTAGTTAAGGAGACATCAATACAAGTAGTGTTCTAAATTTGTGTTTTAGAATTTTTTATTAAGCCAATCTTTTGAAAAAGAAAGCAACTGAACAAAATTTTGCTGCTATAGACACACGTGAATTCTGGAGCTCTTTTACAAGTTTTCATTAACAAATGAATTTGTTCAAAATGAAATAGAAAATTGATATCATGATGACATTTAAAATGCCCATAATATGCCAAAGGCAAATTCAGTAAACTTAGTTCCTTCTCAGTAGAAACTACTATTCTTAAACCTACCTTGTGTGGTAAAGATAAGTGGAGTGCTCCAGTCACTCCAGATTCCTGGCCCATCCAATCTCTTGCTCCTCACCCGAACCTCATATGAAGACCCAGGAAGCACACTGTCTATTAGCAGAGATGTAGCTGAGACGATTTCATCAGCCTGTCAAATATTATGTGAAAACATCAGACCATCAATTTGCTGTGTAACTGATCACAGAATGACCTCAATGGATTTCAAGAATAAAATTTTACAGCATGATTACCTAGCTACAGTGCAATAAACCAAATAACACATGTTTGTAAATTAGTCAAAATTTTAAATAAGCAAAAGAGGAAAAAACCCACAAAGACAATCAGGAAATACTTTTAACTGAATGAAAGTATAACTGACTATTCAAAAATCTGAAAGCAATAGCTAAAGTAGGAAAGCTGAAGCCCCTGCTGACATCTAGAACACAAAAATGGTGGGAAGAGGTGGATACCCACAAAAGGGGCAAACAGAAAACTATACACATTAGTAGAGGAAAGCATTGCAGGAGGGCATGAATAATATTCAGCACCTGAACCTGATGCCAAAGTAAAGGGAACCAAAAGTTCATTCAAGTTTAGCAAGAGACCACTGCAGTTTACAAACCACAAGAAAAATATCTAAGAGTCCTAACTACATAAAATAGCCAAGAATTGCTTAGTAAATAAACTTAGTAAATAAAGTTTTCCAATGATGTATTCCAAAAGCTATAGAACTCCATAGTCTCTTAGACTTTGGAATATCATAGTCTAAAAATGGTAAAAACATTAAGAATGCCTAAAGCACTATCAAATCACCTTATATGGAATCTTATCATCTCCATCTTACAGATGGAGAACTGAAGACTGGGGACAATTTAACTCTGTGTTTTCTATACACGAATTCTATACTAAAGGATTCCCATCCTGTTCTTTATGAACATAGATTCTTTACAAAAGACTTATTTTTTTTACCCTGGATCTAAAAGACAGATATTTATCTCTTAAGTTATAAAATAATTAGTTTCATAAAGTTATGGGCCAAAGTCTTTAAATGACTCAGAAGGTTCTTCATGACCTCCTCCTTTTCCTCCCCACCACTCTCTGATTTACCAGCTACTACTCTTACCCTGCCCACCTTCATGGCCACCAGCTTCTCAGCCAGCTTAGGATCTCTATGCATTGCTGTTTTCTCTCTTTAGAGTCCAGTTCCCATCTAGCTACACCACCACATCCTTGGGATCCTTGCTGAAATGCCACCTTCTTGGTGAGATCTTCCCCCATCTCCACTTATTATTCCAACTCAAGATCTCTCACCAGCGCTTCCAAACTCCTCTCATTCTGTTCTACTATCCCAGTATAAAGCAAACAATGTAAAAAAAAAAAAAAAGGTAATGTAAAAAAATATATATGTATAAATTATTTTCTAAATATAAAAGCCAGTGTAACCATACAAGTAAAATAACCCTTAGCACCTAGTAGATGCTCAATAAATACTAAAAGGTGAAAAAAGGTTTTAACATGCTTTCCAGTATAAATGCATGTAAGCTGATTGAGCAATAAAAAATTAGATTTAATTATAAAAATCATAAACCAGAGAAAAATCTTTAAAAAAAATCAAAACTATGGTCAAAAGAGAGGGGGACGAGCACAAAGGATTGTGGTGATGTATCACAGGTGTGATGGTGGTGGGAGAACTTGGGGGACTACACCTGAGGGGGGAACAATGATGTAAAAATATAAATTAATTTTAAAAAGAGGCATTGTAAAAAAAATTTATGAATCTCTGTAACTGGACTACCTATAGCCATTTTTGGGTAGGGGTGGGTGTGTGTGTGTGTGTGTGTGTGTGTGTGTGTGTGTGTGTGTGTGTGTAAATGAGAGGAAGTGAAAGTCAATGATATAATATTAATCACAACTGATCGGCTCTCAGCATGCCCATTTGGCATGCAGAGGGAAATTTCTGTGGGGCCAGGAAAGGGATCTCATCTTTTGTTGCTTCTGAACTTTTAATTTTATTCACTGAAATATACTCACTTTTCTCATACTTGTAGAATTCTCTGAATATTTGACTTGATATTGAAGTTGAAACAGTGTGAATGTTAAGCTGGACCAAGAAATCTTTAAACTGCCAGTGTCTGTAATTTCCATATGCAAACCAAATGGTGGATCAGGTTTCACTTAAGAAAAAAAGAGAACACTTTTAAGTCAAGCAGCTTCTGTGACAATTATAAGATGAAGTCCAAACAAATTTTGAGCACATCCTATTATTTTAATCACATAAGGTGACCCTATTAAAACTTAAGTACAGAACAAAGATATGGGGTCTACTCTTTGTACTTTACCAATGCAATCACCAATTGTATCTTCATTTCCTTTTCAAGTGGAAAAAACTAAAATGAGGCTATGTTGATAAATGTGAATTCATACTATAAAAATACCTACTTAGTTTTATTTAACTTGTCATTTCTCAAACTTACCTGAAAGCTGTCCCCAACACACACACACACACACACACACTGACACACACTGTTTGAGTGAATACCATGTGAAAAGAACATTTTGCACAACAGTACTTGAAAAATGTATACAGGTTTGGTATGCAAAAATTCATGCATAAACATATATGTGACTTTCAGGAAATAATCTGAAATATAACTATGTGGAGATACCTACTCAAAATAATCCACAGCATGCATGTTTACATGTAACAAACACAGCATTAGCAGACCCTGTGTCATGTCACCAAAAATGAGAATTGAGTTTCTTAATCTGATAATGTTTAACTTGGTAAATAATTCGAGTCATATGTATATGTTATGTTTCTGAATGCATATGCATGTACAAGTGTAAGTATATGGGATATATGTGTGCATATATATATGTAGTTTTAAAAATACAACAATTTCTATATTATTTGTGTAAACACTATAAACATCTTGCAAAACAGAACTGTTTGAATAAATAATGACTCTTTCCTATAAAGAAAATCTATAGAAATGAAAAATCATATTAGAAAAGAATATTAAAAATATATAATGTTGATAGTTTTAAAAGTTTCTTAAAATCTAGAGTCCTGATTTGTTAAAGGATACATAAAACTTTACAATGAAGAAAAAAACAAAAAATACACAGATGATCTCTATAGACACTCCTCTAAAGAAAACATAGATGAACATAGAGAACATCTTATGCTCTCTAAAAAAGACATATATGGCTAACAGGGACCTGAGAAGATGTCCCTCAGATCTAACTACCAGGGAATTGTAAAGTGAAACTGTAAGATTTCACCTCATACTGATAAAAATGTCTATGTACAAGAGACAAGAAACAAGTGTTGGAGAGGATGTGGAAAGAAGGGAACCTTTATATTGTTGCTGGGAATATAAGTTGGTATAGTCATCATGGAAAACTGCATCAACTTCTCCATGACTCACTATTTTCCATTCAGCTCAAATGCTATCTCCTAAAAGAGGTCTTCTTTGCCCTCCATCTCTGAAAGAACAGCCCTCTTACTGATACTCTCCATTGTACCATCTGTCTTACTTCTTTCTTGTATTCAAGCATTTTTACAAGTTATTATATAGGCCCAAATCTAAAGGAAAATTTTTCCCAAAAAAATTATCACTGAAGAAAGAAAATATTCCTCCTAAGACTTTTAATAAAACCCATCATGGCATTTTGTCTTAAGTATTTTTTAAAAAATTCAAACCGGGCCCTCCCTGGTGGCACATTGGGTAAGGACACAGCACTGCAGGCTAGCCACAGCCGCTTCAGTGTGAGTTCAATCTCCAGCCCCGGAGGTGATCCACGTGGCATGACAGAACTCTCCTGACCCACATGCTACTCCCCTCTGCAGTGCACTTCACCAATCAGCCTATTCAGCCTCCTCACTCTGTCTCTGGTGATCCTCTTACCGCCCCTGCACCTCTGGCTTGTACCCAAGTTCTGTATGCATAAATAAATAAATCTTTTTTTTTTAAAGAGTTATTTATTTATGGACACAGAACTGGGTACAGGCCAGAGGTGCAGGGATGGTGAGAGGATTCACCACACACAGAGCAGGGAGCAGAACAGGCAGATAGATGAAGTACACTGCTGAGGGGAGCAGCGGGCGGGTCAGGAGAGGTCTGCCACGCCATGTGGATCACCTCCGGGGCAGGCAGGGATCAAATTCATGTGGAAGTGGCTTCTTAGTGCAGTGCTTTAACCCACTGCACCACCAGGGAGGGCCCAATAAATAAATCTTTAAAAAAAAAATTGAAACCAACGCTGGCTCTAAATGCTTCTAGAATTCATTTTTTAAAGGGATGATATTAAAACTGGATTTTTTTGGGTTTTTTCCCTTTATTATCAGTTCAAGACCAAATTTCTTAGATTCACTGTAATTATATTGTGGAAATCACAAATCTACCACCAGAGAACAAATTATTTTAAAATCCTAATGTTAAAATATGGCAGAATCTGATTCAAAAATGATCTCCCCAGTCATTTAGAAAGAATTAAAGATGAAGTTGTTGTTGGAAAATTCTGTCAGATACCTGGAAAAGTGGTTTCAGTGATATAAAAAATAATAATGCAAATATACATGTTAAAGAATTTGCTTATAATGTTATAATGCAAATATTAATGTTAAAAACTTTGCATATAAATATAAATGGAAAATAGTAAAATTATTAAGTTATATGCTTACATATAATATATAATTTAACATACATACACCAAAAAATTAATAAATTACTTTTAGTCAACTTATATTATTCACATTTGTAATTATATATTCAAGTTGGTCAAAAGAAATTTGGGAACTATTGCACTGAAACATGAGGCATTACCTATCATTTGAGTTTTTCTTAGAATCAGATTTATATCGCAAACTGCTTTGTTGTTTACTTATTTATTTTTTATCTCTGTCCACTATTTTTGTCCCTGCTTTATGATTCAAGAATTTTGGTTTACTCGCCACAGTTACTGTAATTCTTAAAAGATGAGCTTCTAAGAAATATTTATTGAAGGAATAAAATTCAAGTTAAAAATATACTATTTGCCTAGTGATAACCAAACAACACATATCCAATACAGATTTAGGATTTATAGAAATCAAATTGTTTTCAAGAGAGAATTTAAGTTACAATTACAGAGCTATCTCTACTACAGTCAAGTCATCACAGAAACTGCTTTTAATACTTTTAATACTCCCAAATACCACCAAAGCAGCTTTGGTCAAAGCCAGGTAAACTAACAGAAAACTTTATAAGTAATTTTTAACCTGTTTGCATGACTGAGGTTTAAATGTAATACTTCTTTTTTGGTGCACAACTTACCAACATTTATGGGCTGAACAGACATTAAAGGTGACTGAAAAGTTATTCCACCAGATGTGATGTTCAAGTGCATAAGAAGAGTGTAGTTGAGTTTGGAAACTGGCATAGGGACGTAGCATTGACAGAACTTGTGAACACTGCAGTCGCACTGAACAATCTGAAAACTGCCTTTCTGGGGAATCCAAGGCGGCTCTTCTACCACTTCAAGACTATATAAAAAAAGAAGTACTAAATATCAACATAGATGTAATAATTATAACTAAATGCATACAAGGTATAATTAAAATGTGGTCCACAAAATGCAAATTGAGGTACTCTCTTCTAGATCCCCAGCTTAAAGGGAAGCTGGAAAAAAAATAGATACATCATGTGAGAAAAACTAAAAGTTAAATCAGATCAGCTGTCAGAAATAATTGAACAAAAAGAATGTGAAGCAAAATGAAATACTGAGAAAAAAAGTGTCATCCTAAAAAACCACAACCAGTGAAAATATCTTGGAATTAAAGAAGACATAACAAAACTGGAATTAACTACCTTCACACCTACACTGTAAAAACTACTAAAGGAAGTCCTTTCAGCAAAAAGAAAATGATAACAAGTAGAGGTCTGATTTCACAAACCAAAGAAAAAATTTAGCTCAAAGGGTAAATACTTACTGACTGTTTGAAGCAAAAATAATAACCACATAGCATACATGAAATATATAATGTATAACATTAGCACCACGTTTTGGGGAAATAGAGATATGTAAGCATGCAATTGTTATTCACCTATTAAAATGTCTAATATTTTAAAAAAATAATTATACCAAAAGTATAAAGGAAGATGTATAAGATTCGGAACTCTTAATACACTGCTGGTGAGAATGGAAAGTTATACACTTCAGAAAGCTTTTGGTAATTTAATAAGTTGTAAACATACACTTAACAGCTGATTTACACATTTCATTTCTGGGTATTTGTACAAGAGAAATGAAAGCCTATGTCCCTGTAGAATTTGTACATGAACAAGTACAGAGACTTATAATAGCTTGGTTTTTAATAGCTAAAATTTGTAAATGGCTCAAATGTCTATTAGGAAATGAATGGATACACAAACTACAGTATAGCCAAAATAATGAAATGCTATACAACAATGAAAATGACTAATATGTACTGATGGAAGTACATATTAATGAACCCCCCCCCAAGTAATCGGCTCATGTGAAAGCATGACAAAATTACTGTGCTTGGCTGAGGAGCCAGTGGGGCAAAGCTGCAATCTGTGGGATGATGACTGAAGGCCTCTAAATGAGAACCCCACCCAGGCTAAACAAAAGGCAGACATGGGGTCTCTAGGGGAATCATTTAATACAATTAAAACTTAGTCTCTGCGCTGTGCTCGGCTGAACAATGCTGGGAGACATAAAATAAACAAGAAAAGGGAACGAACTGGGTTGCATGGAATGGGCCATAGATCCACACAACCAATGAGGTCTATCAAGAATTCTGGGCAAACACAACCCAGCAAGACACCTCCTATGCTCCAAGAGCCACCTAAACCTGATGTCCCTGCAGATAATTTTTCATGACTCCCCCAGTCATGAAAAATTACAGAAACAAGTGATAAAGGAGAGCCCCAAATCTTTTTTGAGGTGCAGAGTTCTCTATCTGGCCTATCTCTCCCACCACTTTTCTTAACCATGTAGTTCTATAAATCAGCCTTTTCTGTTCTCCAATTGGTCATTGGTGAATCATTTCATTCTCCAACCCCAGCTTCTGGCCTACACCCTAGTTCTTCCCCACAACAGTCTCAGTTATCCAGTACCCCCATAACCATGCACTTCTGTACCTGCAACACCTCCAGCTCCCCACACACTTCTAACCTCCTACCTCTCTCCAGTCCTCCTACATTCCCCTCCTGCCACAGCACCCTTCCCACCGTTCCTACTACCCCAATGCTGGGGGCTGTTCCCACCCATCTGGGTTGGGACCAGGGTGCCAGTGTGTAGAGCCATTAGTCCTGTAACAGGGGTGTAGCTGGAAAGGTACCCACACACTCTCTGGTCACACCCCTCATTAATGGGGTGTTTGGTGTTAAGCCATTCCCAGAGGACCTTCCAACAGCACACTACAAGCTCATGGGTGCTTGGCACTCTGCCATTCCTGAATGACCTGCTTCTGGGTTGGGGTTCCCTACACAGCAAAATAGCTCCTTCCTGGAACTCTACTGAAAGTCAGCCCTCCACAGGGGAGTTTGTAAAAAGAAAAAAAAAAACAAAACACAGTATGTTTACATAAAATTCTAGAAAATGGAAAGTAACCTATGAAGACAAAAAAATGCAGATTAGTCATTGTCTGCTGACACTGAATGAGCGAAAAGGAGTGCCATAAGGGCAGAAGCGGGGATTAGAGGGGCAGGGAGAAATTTTGTGATTGATAATATATTCATTTTCTTTATTATGGTGATGATTTAATAAGTCCTCTCATATAGACATTAAAAATTATGAAATTTATACTGTGAATATCATAGTTATTGTAAATGAATAAAACTATTTACCAAAGAAAGAAAATTTAGGGGAAAAAATTTTAAGCAATACCTTATCTATGTAGACCTACAAATGAATGGGTAAACCTTAAAAAGTAATTATAATTAGCTGTGTAGGTTTAGAGTAGGATTACAGACTCAGTGCACAAGTAACAGCATGCAACCAAGACACGGAGAGCTGTGATTTCTGATTTATTAGTGTTTTTCCCAATCTTCTTGATCTCCCAGGGAGTCTAAACCTTGGTGTAAATGAGAAGACTTTAGGATAGGCATCATGGGGCGACTACCAATGCCTCATATCCCCCTGCCTTGCTTGAGCTCCCCCATTCTCTCGATAAACACCTGCTGCCTCATAGTCAAAATAATCTTTTTTTTTTTTTGCTCATTTGAAAAAAAATCTTATTTTTTTTTAAATGAACTTAACACTGGTTTACAACACTGTATGATTCCAATGAATAGGATCACACCCCCTCAGAATATGTTACCACAACACACCCAACACCAAGGTAACCACTGTCTTCCACCATTGTCTAGGGACACACGCCATAGTAGGCTCTCCACCGCCCCCTCTGGTAGTGTCAGTTCTGCAGTCAGAGTTCTAGGGTTTGCTACTGCTTTGGTTTTGCCTGATTCTTTGTTTTATTTCTCTATATTCCAAATGTAGAAGATAGCATCCAGAATTTGTCTTTTCCCTTTGCCTTATTTAGCTTAACATTATTCCCCTAGTTCCATTCATGTTGTTGAAAAAGGCAAGAGTTCAACTTTTTATAGCCAAGCAGTATTCTTTTGTGTATATATACCCCTTTTTAATATCCAAAAGGACAGGTTTATTATAAAAAGAAAAGGGAACTAAAGGACAATGCCACAGACACAGTGGGTAGAAAGAGCTTCCCCTGAAATGACAGGGTTATGAAAAGAGACTCCAGCATAATCACAGGTGGAAAGCTACAGGAGGAGCTGCCTCTGCTGCTTTGCAAATGGAGAAGATTGGAGAAAAGAAACACCTGAGTTGTCACAGGTATTTCCATTATAGCGTGCTTGTGTGTGTACGTGTTAGCTAATTCTCAGTCTCCTCCTTCCATTTACTATTTTACATAAGGATTCTTGGTGATACTAATGTCATCGTTTAGTATTTAGCATACAGAATATTTGTTCAGGTGGGACTGAGACTGAATTGGAGGAGAAATTAATATTGCCCAGATTGTAAATGTTGCCCAGAAATGTAAAGGGTAAGAATTAAGACACAATACCTCCTCATTGAAGGGGCCGGAGAAGATTATCTCCTTTGGCTTAAAGTCTGCATCTTAATAGGGGAAGGCATGAAGTTACAGGGAAATTACAGTTCAAGTAAGTGTAGGAAGGTACACATGTGTGAGTGCTAAGTTGTAAAATAGGGGCGGAATAGAAGGCTGATGAAGAGGAAAAGAAGTAGTCCCTCCTTGTTTTACCACCCGCTTTTGGAAGCATCAGCTCAGTAAAGATTCTGCTATGTAACTGCAGTTGGTTCCTGGGTTCCAATAAGGAGAGTTTCATCCCCTGTACATTCTTAAAATTAACCATATCAAAATTATTCTCAGAGTTTACAGTTTTTTAGAATAAATGCCCATTCTAAAAAAAAAAATCTAATAGAGAGCACTGTATAAAACACACATACGCAAAAACACACACACAATGCCTCCAGGAAATGCATAGATATAAACGGAAATGTAGGTAGGGATAGGAGAGGTTTCATAACCCACTTCTGTTAAAGGAAGCTCTTGCTTTAAAGAAAAAAAATCTCATGTCACAGAAATATCCAAATACATTTATTTAGTTTAGTACTTACAGAGAATATAACAGGTGGACCTCAGGGTCATAATTCTTGAAAGGATTCTTAAATGATGACTCCATATAACAGATGAATAATTTCAAGTCCTCTTTCATCCAGCACTGTATGTTCCAGTTTGCACCTGAATTAAAAATAGACTAGATTAAATCTGAAAAACATTCTGAACAACTCAGGGAAAGAGAAGAGCTAAATTAAATTTACCAGTGTTCTAATACAACTTCCATTGCCCATTCTGAGGAGAAAAAGAGCAGGCTCTAACTAGTGGTATGTGTTTGCCCAAGTCTTTTAGTGCCATTGGCCCTTGGTATTATTTTTTGCAAGTTAAGGAATTAATTTCAATTATTGCTTCTCAAACATTTTTTTTTAATCCTAAGCCACTTAAGTAGGACAACAGACCTCAAAACTCACCTATTTTCAGTGTTTTCTCACTTTCCAAGAGAAAAGAGAACATTAAATATCAAGGTATAAGCAAATCTGGAGCAGTATTTATGTGTCTGCTTTAGCAATAAAGGCACAGTGAGTCACAATTTGAACTATGACGCATGTCTTAAATCCTTGTTACAGTCATACTAGAAGTCCCAAGTACAATTAATGCAAGTATATTTCACAGCACGTTAAAAATCCCACCTGAATAATACTAAATTTGGACACCAAGTTTATTTGGTGGCCTGTAAATCGCCAAGTAAATAGGTGATCTATAACTTAAAAAGCAAGAATAACAATAGAAAAATCATGACTAACTTTTAACAGTAAACTTAAGCCAATACTAACATTTCCCCAAACCTAATGGATTTCTGTTAGTAAGTCCTATGAAGTAAACAGCCTAACTGACAGATTAATGAATTCAGATATTAAGTGGCCACCACTTAACATATTAATTTTAGCGACAAAAATTTAAACTCACTTACCTGTAACTAGCTAATAGGCTTAACTTGTAAGCAAGACTAAAACCTACATAGCATCATAATCATTCCTCTTAATAACTAAAGCACTTTTATATATATATATATATAATGATTTCAATTTACTGGAGTGCTGCTTCTATTCAATCAGTGATGGTGTTTGCCACCCAGGAGAAGTCTGGCAAAGTTTGGAAATAGTCTTTGATTGTCAGAAGTGACAATGTGCCCCTAGAGGCATCTGGGGGGTAGAAGTCTGTAATAGTGCGAAACATCCCACAGCACAGAACAGACATCCCCAATTCAGCAAGAATGATCTAGCCTAAACTCTCAAAAATGCTGGGGTTGAGAAATTTTGATTAACCTACAGGAATGTTATACTTACATATGATTTATTTTCACAATGCAGTTCTCTTTATATGGCCAAGTCAATTGATTCTTTTTAGTTTTTCCAAAAGGCTTGGTAACAATTTTGTTTCTTAGATTTCCAGGAGAAGAGTTATTCACTACACTAGCTATTTTCAGTATGTATTAAACAACAAATAAACCCTTGATTTAAAATATATGTTGGTTACGAGATTCCATACTTGCACAAAATATATTACCCACAAATGCTTTAAAATATATTTATTTCAACACCATTATTAGCCATTTGATATATAAGAAAAATAAGTAGCTTTTCTAGTTTAAAGCCTATTTAGAAATCTAAAAGAAGCATACTTAAAGGAAAAAAGAGTTTCTTCATTAATTTTTATTTTAATGTATTTTCATGGAATATAAAATAATTTAGGGCTTAATAGTTTGGTCACCTGATAAATCTTAATTGTGTAACTAATATGAAATGATGACATATATTCAAAATCATATCCATAAGGTACCTATTTCAATATTTAAAAAGAAAACATTTTATTCAACATTAAGTAACAGTTATGCTTAGAATATTAAAACACTTACCTGTTTGTTTGAAAGCTAAAGAATTTACTGTTGAAACAAGTTTTTTCCCACCAATCTCTGCATGCACAGAACAGTTTTGATCTTCTTCATTCCAAAAACAACAACAAAAAGTTGTTTGGGATGTTACATTAGAGTAAATAGTAGTTGAATTAAATTTAGCTTCAACAACAGCTTGAATTCCATTCAGATTCGAAATATTCTTTGAGATTCCAGCAGGCAAGAAGTCATAGGTTGTATTTGGTAGCATGCAAGACAACTTAAATGTCCAGGGAGAAATTGGATAGGCCATGTTAAGTGCAGTTACCATATACACAAATTCTGTTAAGACATTAAAACGACACATACATAAACAATTATTTTGAAGAAGATAAAAATAGCAGGTTTCTAAAACTAAACTTTGTGGAACTCTGTTTAATCGCTGTCTAATTCAGAGTTCTGCATTTCTACTGTACAACATGTTATACTTGGAAAGGTGCATTCATTTATAGAGATAACTTCATCTTGTAGCATTTCTTTATGAGAATTTATTTATTTTTCCCTATTAATTATTTTTATTTATATTTTAAGGAAAGAAAATCATACAAATTTCAATTTCCTTTCCTAAAAAAAATATTATACTGAACTTCCAACATACATGGGGTATAATGTGAACATGCAATACATTTTGTAAAAAAATTAGACAAGACACAGAGTAAGGCAAGATGGCAACCTCACCGTGACCAGCTGTCAAGCAGGAATGAAAATAAGTCCTGATTACCCTCGGCACCAGCAGCAGTAAAATGGGCCACATCAAACAACTATCTTAAAGCATTTATTCTCTGATTCAAAATGGAGCTTTGTACTGTGTTTGCAATAAATCCACATATTCTTCTCTTTCTGATAACTGTAATTGCAAAGTTTCCCTACTGCTCCCCTCAATCTGCCTGTTCTGTTCCCCACTCTGTCTATGGTGAATCCTCTTACCTACTGCACCTCTGGCCTATACCCCAGTTCTGTATGCATAAATAAATAAATCTTTAAAAGAAAGAAAAATGGGTCTTCTTGGGTCTCAAGACTGCCAGCTTTCATCCTACAATGCAAACCATCAACCTTCCTGAGTCTTCATATTGCCAACTACAGATCTTAGGATCTCTCAGCCTCCACAGTCATGTAAGTCAATTCCTTATACTAACTCTCTTTCTACATATATGTACATATAAATTTTTTCTGTTCTATTTCTCTGGAAAATTCTAACTAATAGTGCTAGTATTTACTACATTTTATAAATTTCTAAAAATCATATAGGATCAATAAAGTCAAATAACAAAATGGTTCAAGTATATGAATTAGAAAACACATAAGAAATACAAGCGGCAAATAAATGAAATTGAAATAATATGCTATATATTTGTTTATTTAACATTACAAAAAACAGTAAAAGAATAATAATATGCATAGCTGGCAGAAACACAAAGGAATCAGGATTCATATATTCATATTGGGATTATAAATGGTACAAAGCTCTGTGGAGATTTCAGTTATCCATCAAATTTTTAACATGCATATTATTTAATATAGAAATTCCCCTTTAAGAGTTAATCACCAGAAATATTCTCCAAATTTACAAAGACATATGTCACAGGTTTCAATGAAGCATAATTTTAACAAAAATAAAGAAATGTTTATCAGTGAGGTTTGGACAAATGAATTGATAATTGAAAGTACATTTATATTGCTCATTGTTGTATGATCAATAAACATTTAAGTACACTAGTAACTACTGACAAGAAAGATAGTCATGAAAAATGAAAAGCTACTGAGTAGAAAAAGAAGATGCAGAACAATACATATAGACTATATGTTTTTTGCAACTATGATCTGAATTATGTATCAGATATGTGTTAGAGTCTTGAAAGAGTACACACTGGATCATTTGCAAGTGATTAAAAGGGTTTTTTTGTTTTTACACGTACACTAGCTACTGTTCAGTTTGCATTTTTAATCATGAACATAAAAATTTTTAATTGGGGAACAGGAAATTCTGTTACCCAATAAAAGAAACAGCATCTCTGAGGGTAAAATTTCTACCTCATTTAAAGACTTTACAAAGCAAATAACTTACCCCAGTGTAACAGAGCCACACAGAATTTTTTACAAGTCATCTTACTTCAGAGAAATATACCTGAAAAACAGTAAATCACAAACATATACACACACATTCACATACAAAGCTCACATATATGCAAGGAAAGTATAAAAGAAAAAGGGTTATAAACATGTCTATAAAATGTAATTTTCTACAATAGTTCAGGTCAATAACTGCAAGCTTTAGATTAATTCCTGTGTACATGCTATCTTATGTAGTTAAGATATTGTGTGTGTATGTATAATGTATGTATGTATAATGTATGTATGACAATCAAAAATGTTCACTGTTCCTTTATGGCATGAAAAACTAGGAGAGATAATGATATAATGAGATAACTGAATTTAATCTTTACAAATGCACAGTCAATCTAACAGTATTAATATAAACATCTTCATTGTTTTTCATACTTAGCTTTTAAATTTCTCTTATTTTCTTAAGCACCTGTCTTTACTATGATACTACAAAGCCAAATAGTCAAAGTACAGGTAATAACAGTACATTGACTTCCAGTATGCTTTTGGAAACCCAATGATCACTGCAAGTGAGGCAACATTCATATTGGAGAGATACAGAGTGATTCAAGAGAAGGATGATGGCTTTATACATACAAATGATATGACGGAGATAACTACAGAGACAAGTGTTCCCATGAATTATGCTGAACTTGAAATATATTGTTTATAAGATAATTTATACTATTATGCCATGAAGTAGAATGGTTAGTAAAGATTTTTGATGTTTCACTAATTTTTCATACCTTAACTTGGCAATTCTATTTACTACATGAAAGTTACCCAGGTAACCTAAGGTTAAAAGCTCTTGAAATAGGTGTCAGGAATCTAGGTTGTTTCAGTAACCAGCTGTAGGACTGATAGGGACTTTGACTTCCACAGATTCCTCATCCACAAATCAGATTGACAGGTTGTCTCTACAATCCCCTTCAGAACTGCTTATGATTCTGAGAAACTCTGTTTTAAAATAGAAACCACAGGGCCTTCCCTGGTGGCGCAGCGTGTTAAAGCACAGCACTAAGAAGCTTAAGCCACTTCCACATGAGTTCGATCCCCGCCTGCACGAGAGGAGATCCACATAGGCGGCAGACCTCTCCTGGCCCGCCTGCTGCTCCCATCAGCAGTGTACTTCGTCAGTCAGGCTGTTCTGCTCCCCATTCTGTCTGTGGTGAATCCTCTCACCCTCCGCATCTCTGGCCTGTACCTCAGTTCTGTATGAATAAATAAGTCTTTTAAAAAACATAAAAACCACAGCTTTCCTAACAAGAACATTATAAAATATTAAGTGAGAAAAATCATATCTAAGAACTGGTACCACATGATGAGAAAACAGAAAAATGTGTTTATTCTCAACTTGCCTGACTTAGAGAGGAAACAGATGAGTATAAACATTTTGTAGTCTGGTAAATTCACTTTTCAGGTTATCAGGTTTTATTCAAAATTTTGGTTTATAAAAACTGTGCAAATGCCTCCTATCTTTATGATGCCTGCTTCTAATAAAAAATTATTTTTCTCATAAAATAAACGCCAGGATAACTTTCATAATTAGGATGTGCCAGGTACCCAACAAATCCCTAGACTGAACTGATTAATGACTAGTAACTCCATCCAACAACTGACTTGTCTGACTTCTAATTCATCTGAAATGCTGAATTAAGTAACTGGATCAGTTACTTTACAAACTATGCTGACTGAATTCTTGCAGTCAAGGCTTATACTATGTAACAGAGAAACAATCACATATGTGAAAAGCACAAGATAGCAGCCTTGAAGAGACTGTGAAAGGCAGTAAACATCTTACATAGACTCCAGTAGGGAAATATTTATATATACCCCAAATTAAACCAAAAGGAATATAAAGTGGTTTACAAAAACAAATAATGCCCAAAAAATGAGAGAAAAGGCCCTCCCTGGTGGCGCAACATTTAAAGTGCAACACTGCAAAACAGCAGCAGCTGCCTCAGTGTGAGTTCAATCCCCAGCCCCAGAGGTGATTCACCTGGTGTAACATACGTCTCCAGTCTCCCCCGCTGCTCCCCTAAGCAGCGCACTTCATCGATCTGCCTGTTCTGCTCCCCACTCTGTCTCTGGTGAATCCTATCACCGCCCCTGCACCTCTGGCCTGTACCCCAGTTCTGTATGCATAAATAAATAAAAAATGGACTGAAAAGAAATTTAAATGTGAAAAAAATAAAAGGGAAAACCAGTGGTTTGGTGACTAAAAGCGTGGAATATATAAAACACCACTGATTTGAATTCATTTCAGAAGGATAAGCAGTTAATTTGCTTTAAGCTTTCCTACAGCCAAATTATTCAATTACAAATTCATAGAGTACTCAAAATGAAACCAACAATCTAGAGGATTGAAAGACTAGAAAGAAATTTTGCCTCACTTCATAAAATAACAGTAATATCCTTAGGAATAGCCTTGACTATACCAGAGACTCACAGGAATTTAAAAATTCAATAATAGCTCACCCCTTCTCTGCCAACACCCTGTCCAAAGTCGCCAATGTCTTCTCCCTGAAATGCCAGAACCCCTGCACCACTGTGTCAACTTGCACTGGAGAGCTTGTCTGGGAATTCTAGCGGAGGAGCACAGCTCCTGGTTTACACTTGACTGAAGAACAGCTGTCTCTACTTGGGCAAGGCCATCCTCTTCCACAGAGCACAGCTTTTGGAGGGGTGCATGCTGGTGCAGTGAGGGAGGAAGGGAACACCTGTTTAGGTGGCCAGAGCAGCCCAATCAATGCTGGTGAACAATAGGGTGACAGATGTCACAGCTATCACACCCTCACATCCCAATTCAACCTTTTGATGCATCAAGCAGAACGGTTTAACACACAGGGAAGATCACATCTCTTTCCCCAAACACTGCGGTATTTTCTTGTTACTCAATGTAAATGTTCTGTGCACAACTACAAGGTCCGGGATCTCGCTTTCTCTCTATATCATCAGCCACTGTTCTCCCTTTTAGTCAAGTCATCTTTTCCTAGGTAACTTCCCTGATCAGTCTATTGAAAATTACAACATTGTTCCCCAGCCCAACATGTCATATCACTGTTTGCCTTAATTTTTTCTCATTATTTAACACTATTAAATGTGAATATGATTTGCTATTTTTCTTGTTTATTACCACTGGAATGTAACCTCCAGCAGAAGGATTTTTTTGTTTCCCTTTCATGATCTTATCCTTCACATATAGAAACCTGTCACTCACTACTAAGTGCTCCATGTGTATGTGCGTGTATGTATGTATGTATGTATGTATGTATGTAATATATATTTTACAAAAATGAATGACTCAATGGATGAATCAATGAATAGTGAGATATGACTCTTAAAATATCCTTCAAAATAGACTGATGGCTTCACATCAAGATAAAATTGGGGTGGGTAGGGAGCACAATATTTAAAAGCAGCATTCTAATATCCAGATACAGGTCTGACAATCTTCATACCAGAATTTTAGAATTGTGACCCTTAACCATTTTTTGATCATGTAGCTTGTTGAAAGCAATATACTACCAGGAGAAGGCACAGAAACCTAGTAGTGGGACTATAATTTCAAAGGGTTAACAAACTAAACGTATCCAACTTCTCAAGTTAGACATTTGTGATATAGATAAATCAACAGAGTGTACATTCCTTAGATGATCTCCTATAATTGTACCCCCATGAATTAATCATTGATAGATACTAAGCATGAGGAATTTGAGATAAGACTACCTAATAGTCCTCTGGAATGTAAGTATTCTATATTGATAGCTAACAGCATGAATGCATCTTTGTTGAACTAGTTGAGGAAATCTTTATAAAACATATAAAGATTCATCCACAGTCTGAACTAAATGATACAGCTATGACATATGGATGTGCAGACAATAATTCAATTTGCATAATATACCAACCATAATAAGTATATTAAACATATACTAATTATTCAATTATTACTACAAGCTTTAAACAGAATCTGTATTCTGGTGAATTATCATATGAGGCTACTTCTATCACAGAGAATTCTTTGTGTAATTTTTATGTATCAAATTCTACTTAAATATACACAGAATAGTCTCAATTAGTGTTTGAATGAGTGACTGAGCAGACAGGAAATTGTTTACAACTAGCTTCAATGATCTTAAAAAGTCTCCAGCTTTACAGAAAAGCCTATGAGTAAGAAAAGCAATTCTGACAATTCTGTTGCTTTGATGAGCAAACTCAATGAGCTCCATCTGCCAGTAGTTTTGGCTTTTACTTTCTGATAGAGAAGCATCCATCTATATTTCACTTAAATAACATTTAAATATTTTTATCTAATTGTAAGTGAAAACCATTATTTTTTCAAGCCTATCATTAGCAACCTTGTCATTTTTAAGAATGTCTACTTTTATTTCTTCTCATAGGATAGAAATTGGTCATTTATTCCCATTAAGTAACTGTTAAAACCTAAATTACCTTTAAAGTTAAAGGATATCTCCTGTCATACCCGCCTAAGCATTTGTTACTTTGAAAACATAATTACATATACTTTAACTCTCCTGATATGGCTGTAATTGTAAGACTTTGTTAAAATATTGAAAATGCAGAGGAATAAGTTATATGATTCATAGAGCTGGATACCACTAAGTCAATATAGTCAATAGGCATCTGACCTACAAAATAAACTAAAATCTGTACATAAGTCAACCACTTTAATTATTAATCAAATATATTTGTTAAATGTATTATACAAGGTGATTAAAATGTAAACATGAGGAAGAAATCATTTATTTTAACAAATTGTTAACAGTGTGATAGCCAAAGAAAGGGGAGATGCCATTTTCTCTGTTCCATCCTATGAAGGGAGGTAAAGCTAAAAAAGGAGGAAGCAGCACAGAGAGATATAAAATAAAAAATAAGAGATATAAAATAAAAAAAATAAAACCTGGAGGAGTGACATGGAGCAGAGAAGCAAAGGAGATGCCATGCTTGCTTTCCAGCCTTCTACTTATACTAGGTACTTGGGCACATGGAAGGAGATGC